CCATATCTCCCAGCATTATCCCCCGCCCCCCCACCATTCCAAAAAAAAAAGAAAAGAAAAATCCCTCTCTTCCCCCTATTCCCCCATTCACTCACTCACACAGAGCCAACCTTTCCTTACCGGCGCCGTCCCGTGCCCCTTTGACAGGGAGCCGTGTGTATCATGCGAGTGTAAAAGCAGCCCGCGCGATATAAAAGAGACATACCCCCGGCTGTCAAAGTAATTGGAGGCCAAAGTGACCCAACAAAACGCGGCTGTATGCTAAACAGCAAAGCTACCCCCCTCCTTCCCCATCCCTTTGCTATCAACTCTTCCCGTCTCTCCATACCTCTCTACCCCTCCCCTCCGCGCATGCTGCAAATTCCGAGTGGCCTCAACGGAAATTCAAGGTTATATAGATTTCACTTGGTTTCCAGATCATATGCAAAGGAGCCCGCGCGCAGTCGTGTGTCGGAGCTTGAGGAATTCTCCTTTAGAAAGGTGCAGCAGTCTGCGCGAACAGCAGCCCTCTTCAAATTGATTTCGCTCCACGGCCCGCGCCGCCGCGGCTGGACGCCGGCCAGGGGTCGCCCGGAGGACGCTTGCGTCCGTCTTATATTAAACCTTTTCGGCGGGGCCCGCCCGCTCTTTATCGGAATATTAGCTTTGACCGAGTCGCGGGTCCGCAGCCGTTCGGCCTTTGGCCTTAGCACGTTCGCAGCCCATCGAGCAGGACAAACGCGCGGGGCGTATCGGGCGGCGGAGGAAAGAAATCCCTCGCGAGGGCGCTAACACAACAGTTCAGCCGACCGTTTTAATCAATCTCCAACGGCTCCGCTTGAAATTCTGATTCAAGTTGAAATTCTTGTTCCTCGGCTGCGCTGGGGGGGGGGGGGGGGGGGGGGATTAACTGTGTTTCACCCCGAAAAGACACAACTCCGTCGGCTGCACCGAACCCCGACAACCCCCACGACCCCCCCAATCTTTTCCCAGAGCGTGATTAGGCGACCCCTCGGCACATGGGCCGCCCCCACCCAGGCTGGTGGGAAGCCAGCAGCTGCGGTCTTCCTTAATACTGAAAGGTTCCCGTCGGCGTTGAGGGGGGAGGGGGAGGGGGG